GGTGCTAGATGCAAAGAGACGATTATATATGAACTCGAACTTGCGGCTGCAGTCCTAGCCCTTGCTCATTGGCAAGCCATCTTATGCGAGAATCTGACAGTTTGGTTTGGCGACAATGACAGCGTTCGTTTCGCCTTGATTCGTGCAAGCGCGACAGGAGTATGGGCGGAAGCTTTAATGAGTTACCACTTGGAAGTTGAGGCTAGCAGTGGTACGAGAGCTTGGTTTGCCCGTGTTCCAACTGAGGCAATCGTGAGTGACTTCCCGTCACGCCTAACACCACACCCCTTCTTGACGAAGGACAAAGAAGCGACTCTTGCTGCAAAGTTGTTGGCCTTTGTTCGAAAGCACGTGGGATTGCGCGAGAGAGAAAGGGGAGACGAAGCTCGTTTCATCCCCCGTGCCAAAAAGCATGCCGCTTTGTGAGTTTCAAGACACCAAGTGTAGAGTGACGACTATATTCGTTGAAAACGATATTGTGGTCACAAGACGCTTTAGGAATACGTAAGTTTTCCGGGTGTCTTGAAGTGTTCTTGAACTCCGTTAATTTGGATCCAGGGCGGGTGCGGTGGGTTCGATTTCACCAAAGGTGAACGATGGTCAAAAGGCCCACCCACCCACACCAAGTTGCTGACAGCCTACACGAATCCGACTGTCCATGCCAGGCCAAACCCTCAGCCTGACGAAGCTCGTTTCATCCCCCGTGCCAAAAAGCGTGCCGCTTTGTGAGTTGAGATGAAAAAGTCCGCATGATGCTGACAACAATGACAATGACGATGAGGATGATGATGATGATGATGAGGATGATGAAGATAAGGATGAGGATGAGGATGAAGATGAGGATGAGGCTGAGGATCAGGATGAAGATGAGGATCATGATGATGATGATGGTGGTGGTGGTGGTGATGATGATGATGATGTTGATCGTGTTCACGATGATGCTAAGAATGATGACGCTGGTGATAAATCATCAAAACCAAAAGGATGATAGTGAATGGTTGGTTTTTTGATGACGATGATGATGACTATTTTAAAAATGATAGTTAGACAGTGTTGAAGTTGGCAGCTGTTCTTGAAGGAGAACCCTTCGCAAGTGCTTTCGGGAAACACAAAAAGTATATAATGCAAAACCATGACAAATTAACAAAAACGGGATGCACCCGCACCTCCAAGGCATCCTGTCTTCATAAAAACCAATTACACAGAGGAGGAGAAGAGAAAGAGAAGATGGCGTCCCGATCCTTTCCGCAAACGGTTGATGACATTTTTGTTTCTTGTCATTTCATGCATGTTCCAAGGCCCCCAACATCCAAATCACTGCTGTTATACAGCCTCCGTTCCCTGGGCGTTCACATATACATTTAGTGGGACATACGCCGTTTGTGGCACCGTTACAAAGTCCAAACATGGTTGCCTTCTCCAATGTTTTTCTTTTAATTTGTTGACAAAAACAAACGGGTTTTCGAACAATAACGCAAAAAGGGTTGTGCAACTGATGTTCATTGCTCAGTTTGCATTTTCTGAGTCCCTTCGTTTTGCTTCAGCACTAAAACGCATGATCGCTTCATGTCAAAAAAAATGTCATGCACAGTCTGTTTGTCAACAAGCCATTGGTTCAAGACAAAGCAGTGAACATGTTTGCGGAGCATCTTGCAGAGTGCCGAGTTGGAGCCTCAAATTCATATTTGGAAACTCTGGTTCCAAGTTCAAACCTTCGTTGCCAACCAAGGCCCTGGCAGAGCAGGCTTCGGAGGAATTGCAGCGCCTGCAAAGTGAACCTCAGCTGGCAAATTGAAAATATGTAACGTCAATAGTGCTCTTCCATGGCACTAGTCTTGTTTGATCACTTCCAAGGCGCCTGAGGCTGAAAGGCCGGGCAAGAGCGCTGCAGCCTTCAGCTTGTTGAAACAGGCCGGTTTGTTTGTCCGAATCTTTGTTTGCAATTCCTTTCTCAAACTGTTGTCAACATTTAGGTCAGCATCGGTCGATGTTTTCGCAGGTTCTCTGAGATTCGACCAAGCACCCTTTCCCCAACAAACTATTATGCGGGAACTAATTCATGGACCTGAAAAACTTGTGAGGCAGATGATAGCCTGCAATCGCTGCAGCTAGAGGCCTGTGGATAGTTTTGGAAAGGAAGATGATGTGACGGGATGTGAACAACTCAACTTCAGCCGAACTCATTTTGTACCTTGGAGGCCAAATCGGCTCCGCCAGCAGAGCGGGTGTCATCCTCAGACATGCATTGACAGTTGGACATTTTTTGACTAGGCAAACAATCATTCCAGCTTTGTTGTAGGTATTGAACAGCTTTACAAGGTTTATGCCTTTTACTCGCGGTTTGAAATGCGTTTGACAGGCAAAACTTGCCAAAGAGGAAGCAGCACGGACCCTGTGCATCTTAAACTGTCTTCTCATTGACGGGAACTTTTGTTGGGAAGTCACTTTGTCGTGTTGGCCGTGGGCTTGATTTTCATGAGGCCCTCAGAGAAGAGCTTCGTGCCAAAGCCAAGGTGTACAGCCTTGGGATGCCTTTTCAGTTCAGACAGTCGTCCAAATGACCAAAACACAAAAAGGATCCCTGCAGAGGTAGACAAGCCGAAAGACACATTTACAATTGGTGGTATGACTTCTTTTCCATTCTCAGAGACAGCTATAGCCTATAGTGGTATATATATATATATACTCTACCAGGTCGGTTTTTGCAAGGCGTTGTTGAGACTGGTTCTTTGAGATGTGAACATGCTCTTCCCAGCAGGAGCTTGAGGAAGCTCGGAAGGCGTTACTATTAGGCAAGAGAAGCGTTGTTCTGATTGAATGTCTTAAATATGTACATGATAAAGAGTTCTCAGTCTGGCACACAAAATCAATTGCCCAAGAAACAATCGAACTGTGAGTGTGTCTGTCAGGCGCTGGAGCTGGTGGAAACACTGACAAGTCTCCTTCTCAAAATCCACAAATGTGCTCCACACCAGTATCGCATGCAAATCGAAGTGAGATCCAAACAAACAATCTCTGAAAGTGGTCTTTGTGGGGCTGAATGCTTTGCTAGTCTAGTATCCTTCGCTGAGGACTTTGTACCTTCGTTTTTCCCATGCTTTTCACGAAAGGTAGCCCTTCAGGGGATACCTTGAGTTTGTCTTGCGAAGCAAGTGTGGGCTCCTCCGGATCTGATAATTGATAGTTCAATTCAACCCCCCCCCCTCCCCCCCCCCC